ATTTTAGTCAATAGTTGTTTTATAAAATGAATGAATGAATTAATTAATGAATGAAAGTCGCAGTGAATCACCAACAACTATTCAAATGAATATATGAATATGTGAATGAGCTGAACACATTCGTATTCACTAAGTATTCACATATGAATGAATAGCTAATACAAGCTGTGTGAATAGTTCATGATTCATAGTGACAATTGCATGTATTCACAATCCAAAATATGTATCTTTGGGTGTATTCACATGAATGAATGCACTGCACAACGCTCGCATTGAGCTCACTATTCGAGCTACTCATATTACGCACCCACTCAGCGCTGCTTACACTCATTCACAGTGCACTCACTGACATCGGATGTGAATAAGAAGTGAGTGCGTGCAATTAAAACTTGAGCATTCAAATGTGAGTGCTAAGTAAATAAATAAATAAGCTAACAAACAGCAAACACTCATTCACACTCGGCTCCAACTGTCGAGAGGTTGCTCAAGTAGGGGCACCAGCAGGCAGCAGGAGACGGGGAGCAGGGAGCAGGAGACGGGAGCTGGTTATTATTGCTGCTGGCGAATAACAAAAACAATAATTTTGACATTGATGATGATGATGATAATAATGATGATGATGATGATGGTTGGTGGTGCTGGTGGTGCTGGTGGTGCTGGTGGTGCAACAACAAACAACTTGTAGTTTTCGCACTAGCTGGGCGGTCTGAGAGGGGGAGGGGGGGAGGGAGGCTCAGTGTAGGGAGCGACGTCTCAATGCTATTTGCATGCCAACAACAGCAACAACAACAACAACAACAACAACATGCAGCAGGCGCATGTGGCGTGCACAAAAGTTGCAACTTACACATGTGGCAAGCGCCTTGCCACAAGCTGCGGCCGTCTCTCTCTCTCTCAGTGTGTGTGTGTGTGTGTGTGTGTCTGTGTGTGCACTGTACGGTAGAACAAATGAATGAGTACTTAAAAAACTTTTTACAAGCCACTCTAAATGTGATGGGGGCAGCAGCAGGAGGCGGCAGGAGACGTGTGGAGAGGGGGGGGACGGGGGGGTAGCAACAACAATTGCATATTAGGCGCAACACTTTCGCAGCATTCAGCTGCTGCACGCTGACCCCGGCTCAGCTCATTAGAGAGAGTGAGAGAGCGAGAGAGGTAGCGGCTGTGGGCGCACAATGGGCGTGGCAGTTGGAGTGGTTATGTTTATGGATGGCCACTTGGTTTAGTTTCACACTTGAGCGCCAGCTGCTAATGAGCTTAAGGATTAACGAGCGAGAGAGAAAGAGAGAGACAGAGAGAGAGAGCTAGAGAGAAAGAGAGGGGGAGTGGGTGAGGTGGGGCTAGAGTGGGTGCAATAAACTTTTTGGCGTTAAGCGGCGCAATGCAAGTTTGCATATTTATAGAGGCGGCGGGTGCGTCTGCTTTGTTTGGGCGCGTCAATGGTGGGCGTGGCTAGAGTACGGCCAGTTACGCCCATCGGCAGGAGAAACTTTTCTTTTGCGAAAACTATTTTTGCAAATATTTGCTTAGCTTTTGGTGTTGCAGCGGGCAGACCCTAAACAGCCACGCCCACCGCCCACTAGCCGGCAGGGCATTTCAGACCGGAGGGGGGGGCTGAGGCGAGCTTAAAGCGCCGTTCGAGGCGTCAAAGAAATTTGTAGTTTGGCAAACAAAAGCGAAAACGCAATGAATCATTGAGTGAATAAGCGAATAAGTGAATAAGTGAATAAATGCCAAAGCTGTGAAACAGTGGGCAGGCATAAGCTGAAAATATAATGGGATAGAAACGAGCTCAAAACGAATGCTCAAAGCGCAAAGAGCTCAAATGAATCAATAGCAATTGAGTGAATGAATGAATGAACAAGAGCAAGTGAATCATTGACAGTCGGGAAGCAAATGAAACATGTGAATGCATCAATATGCACTCGCTTAAATTATACTCAAAGTTGCCGAGTATAAAAGCAAATAATATTCATATGAATCATATGAATATGAATTTCGAATGCAACTCTTTTACTATATTCACTCATATATATTCACTCCGAAACATGAGTTGAGTTAAGTTCAACACGAATACTTAAGAAAACAATCAAATCAAGCAATGAATAAAAATGAATACAACAAGTATTCAAAGCCTCAAATGAGTATACGTACTGAATGAATGTTTGAGTGCAAGTGAATAACTGTGATAGCACACTCACACATATATGCATTCAAAATGGATTCGTTTGCTTAATGAATGTATTCATGAGTGCCAAGTGAATACTTGCAGGCATATGAATCGTTGAAGTACTCAAACAATATGCAATGAATACAAGTGAATACAACTGTTGTACTATGAATATACTATGAATATACTATGAATACAAGTGAATACAACTGTTGTACTACCACATTGACATGGCATGTCCACTCCTGAGTGCACACTCATGAGTGCACTCGCTGACTATTCAGCGCGTATTCACTTCAATTCACTTGAGTCATTCACCGTGGCTGTGGCGCACTTCAGTTGACACTCGCCGAGATGATTCAGTTGCCATTCACCAGACACTCATATGAATAACGCTCGCTCTCTCTCTCTCAAGTAGGTGTGAATCTTGAAACGCATTTTCACGCGCCAGCCAGAGCCAGAGCCATCCTTATCCTTAGAGAGGATAACGAAGGCACGCACAGACAGAGGCTGGTGAATATACATATCCTTGCGAGGAATCACCCACTACGCCAGACTGAGACAAAAAGAGAGAGAGAGTGGGAGAGAGAGAGTGGGAGAGTGGGAGAACATTAGTACGTTAGGATGCTTGAGACGCCACACGTGCTTAAGTAGCTGGCAAGGATAAAGGTTGCCCGGGCTCGCTCGTCTCATCTCTGCCCACTTGAGGCTCAAGCATTGACCTACGCGAAAACGGTGTCCGTTCCATGGGCCGGCCCGCATGGTCATGGCCAAAAAGATGGAGCTAAGAGCTACGAAAGCAACTACAAAAAGTCAGAAAGTGCATCAAAGAGAAGGTAGGACGAAGGACGAACAGGAACAGAGGAACGAATCAAGCAAGTGAGCATATCTAGAAGCTCCTGAAATACCAAGATGCGAACTACATAAGCAGCAAATAGAGCATCCATTGGGAAACTGGTATAGCCATGTAATGGGAGAAGATTTTCCTTCAGATAGGAAAAGAGAGCTGAGGACGTTTAGGTCAAAAGAGCATTAGATATTATATAAATCCATGGAAAGCTGACAGAGATATTGATGAGCAGAAAACAGAATGAATGATCTGGCAACGCTGTCATGAACTTGGGAATAGTCACGTCCATCCGAATAAACTTTATGTCGAACTCTGCAGCATTTAATTGAAAATCCAATGGGTAACTAATGAGTATTACTAGGTAGTTAAAAACTATTAAGGACTAAGAGTTTGAGGTGGCCTAAATAAAATTTGATTTACAGATATACATATATACATACATACATACATACATACATATATGTATATATTATAGGTAAATATATATCACACAATTTATAGAGTTTTATATAAAAGAAAAACTCCATATAAATAGTGAGCTGTACGAGGTATACCCAAGCACTAAATGGACAATTGGAATTGGCATTGCAAGGTAAAAAGTTTATAAGACTTGATATTGATATTGATATTGCTCAGTAGGGAGAAGAATCAGGAAGGAAAATAATCAAAGTAAACATCAGAACTGAAATTGAGAAGCTAAATTAGATTCCATAAGTTATATAAAGCAAAGCAGGACTCCTTGGATGTAGACGCATATCTAGGGAGAGCTTCTATGAACTGCTTGTGGAATAGGTTTGTAGATCTGTTCTTTTTTTCCGATATATTCCTAGACAATTCGAAATTATGCTCCATACAAAATAGATTCCTAATCAAATTGCAAACAGAGGCTACACTGGGGATTTACGTAGGTAAAGGCAGCTGGAATTAGACTAAGACTATGTAGGAATCACAAGGAGCTTTCCTTTTGAAAGCTAGAAAAACTATCATCAATCAAATGAGAATTTAATAGAATTTAGTATTCTCTATCAAAATATATATTCCGCATAGAGTTTACACACATCTCATCTGGTTTGCAAGCCACTTGAAATGAAAGTGAAGCCCAGAGATTCACTTAGAAATTGGAATTCATATCACATCAATTCGTATCATAGATCACATATCTTTATATCAAAACTTTTTCTTGTAAAGTGTTTTTTTATCGTTTCACAAATTAAAGTTGGATTTAAGCGAGAAAGAAATATTCCTCGTGCAGTAAGGAAAACAAAAATATTCCACTTTTTAGAGAATTTTATTAGATCTAAGGGAAGAGCACTTCAAGCTGGTATTATGTATCGAAGGATCGTAGAGAATTAGTTAACTAAGGAGTTTGCCATTATAGACTTTATTCTCACATTCTAATAAATATTCCAAATAAAACACAAATTACAAGGAGAGAAAGGGGGCCAAGGGGCTATGAGAGCAAAGATCTTCCAGACTTTCTTTAGCTAGAATATATTCACTGAGTAAGAACTCTCTATATCACACAGATCTTGCTCGAATTGGACGTCATAGAAACAATTTTTTTTTTACAAATTGTTTTCCCTTTCAAGAACTCACAAATCCTAGGGGGTAAGCGAAGAATCGTTGAGCATAGATCAAGGATCGAACTCTTGATAGATTTATATGAAGCACTCTTCGATTTCAATTTAAACAACAAGGATAGGTCACTCCAAAAATATATATGTATATATATATCACATAGAGATTCAGATTAGAAAAATCCTATTCAAATTGTGGAACTTAGGGACTTTCACTTGGGGACTTTCACTTTCAAGATCTCAAGAGTCAATAGGATTTCCTTGAGTGAGAGGTCTTAGTGATCTATTGATCAATCGGCAAAACCTTACGGGAAACCCCAGTCAACAGCGTTTTGCAGGGCTTCTCCTGCTCTATATCACTAAAGTTCGAACTGGTTTTGGATCGATATTATCGTGGACACTCTGCTTACCTGCCGCTCTTGGTGATGACCATTTCGGTGCCGAGCTTGTGGAACTTCTCCCATAGATCCTTGCCCTCGAGCGTGACCTTGGGATCGTCGACGACGCCATCGTCCTCGGGCTGGAGGGCGCGCAGCGGTCGCATCGCCGGATGCAGCTGATGGGCGACGGCCGAGGCGAGCACCACGTCCTCGGCGGTGGTGTAGGCGGTGCCCAGCGGATGGTGGGCGTGCGGATGCGCTGGATGCGGTGGGAAGCGCAAACCGCCGGCGGCGCTATACAGCCCCGGATGATGCGGCCCCGCCGGACTGCCGGCCAGTGCGGCAAGCGCTGCAGCTGGAAAATATGGCGGCGGCGGCGGCTGTTGCTGCCCCAAGTGCTGTTGCTGCTGCTGCTGTTGTTGTTGTTGTTGCTGGGGCAACGGCGGCGGATGCGTGGGATGCACTGGATGCTGTGGCAGTCCAGCTGCAGGTGGTTGCTGCTGTTGCGGTGGCTGCGGCTGTGGCGGCGGCGGCGGCGGTGCAACGCTGGGCGAGTGGTGCGCGGGTAGAGACGGCAGCGGCCCAGCGGCAGCGGCAACTCCAACGGCCGGCAGCGGCAGCGGCAGTGGCGGCGGCGGCGGCGGCGTTGCCGTTGGCGTATTTGCCTGGCTGCCGCTCAATCCTGATTCGCTGCTGTTCAAGTGATTGTTGTTCTTGTTGTTGCTGTTGTTGTTATTATTGTTGTTGTTGTTGTTGCTGTGATTGCTGAGCGGGGAGAGTTGCGAGGGCGAGCCGCGAAAATTTGCAGCACCGCCCGAGCCTGGCGAACTGAGAGCTTGAGCTGTGTTGTTGTTGTTGTTGTTGCTGCTGCTGTTGTTGTTGCCGTTGTTGTTGCTGTTGCCGTTGTTGTTGTTGCTGTTGCTGTTGCTACCCGCCGTCAACAGCGACGAGACGCTGAAGTCAGTGGGTCTTTGCGAGAGCTGCAGAAATGGATGATATGCCATCCCATTTGCGAACCTGGCGAATGGATCCTCAGCAGACTGATGAAGTAGCAGCTCCTGGACGTCGTATCTCATTACATTACAATTTACAACAACATGTGCGTCACGCAATAAATTTTACAAACTACGTTACGAGTTTGAATTCGAGTTTGAGTTCGAGTTCGAGTTCGCCAGTTGAACAGGTACTTGGATATATATGTATCTCTCTCTCTATCTCTCTATATATCTTGCTAGATATATGTATTTATATATATATTCAATATAAATATAATTGATTTATTTATATAATTTTTGTTTGCACACACTCACACACACACACGCACATATTTGTGTAGTATATTTTCGATTTTTCTTTGCTGTTGTTGTTGTTGTTATTTTTGCTGTGCTTTATATGTTTCATAAAAAAAATTAGATATATATACATATATTTATTTTCTCTTTGTAAATTTTGCTTTTCTTTTTGGTTTCAATCAAATTACAAAAAAAATTATTTGTTTTGGCGGCGGCAAAACGTCAACGCGACGACGGCAACGGCGACGGCGACGCAGGCTTATTGAAAGCTGCTGCTGCAGTCACTTTTACTTGAGCTGCTGCTGCTGCTGCTGCTGCTGTTGCTGCTGGCACAGCTGGGCTTTTATTGTTATTAACAAATTGTGCAGCTTCCAACCAGAAAACAACAAAAAAATATATATGTGCAATGGGATTTATTTGTTTGCTAGAGAACGTTCACGACAAAATAACTGACACAGACGGGCCAACGACGACGACGCCGATACGAACTACACGCCGGTCGCTTCCAAACTGGAAAATACACAGACGTACGCAGGCAGCGCAACCCCCGAAGACAACAAACAATACACGAGCAACGACGACGACGACAATGCTGCCGCTGTCGCTGCCCGGGTGGGCAGCGCTTTTTGGCGAGTAGCAGACGAGTGTTGAGTGAGCGAGAGTGAGTGAGAGAGTGTGTGTAGTGTGGTGTGGTGTGGTGTGGTGTGGTGTGTTGAGTTTTTGTTGCTGGGCGTGCGAGTGAGTCGGATTGGGTATGTTGCGCACTGCGGCTGCTAGAGTGTGGGAGCAGGGCAGACTGAGACATACGCGACTGAGAGTGCGACTCCAATAAGAAAACCTAAAACCAAAGTGTTGAGTTGACGCTTTACTGTAAATGTGTGTGTGTGTCCGTGAGAGCGTGTATTTGTGTGCGTGCAGACAAACAACAAGACGACTGTGACAAACCAACCAGCGGCAGCGGCGCCGACGTCGGCAGCGACGTCAGGCCGTCGCAAGGCGTGTGACAAGCAGCATGAAGCGTGTTAGAAGTAACAAGGCAGCTGACACCAAAAGTGCAGCGCGCCAGAAAAATGCCTCAAAATGAGAGCAGCACATAAAGACACACACACACACACAAACAAATATATGTATGTATGTATATATATAAAAAATAAAATAAAATAAAAATAATCTGCTAGAGTGTAGTAAATCATAGCAAAAAAAAAAAAAACACACACACAGCAAGTACAAAAGAAAGCAAAAAAAAAAGCTGTTAGCTCCCGGGGAGAGGGGGACGGTAGATGTGTTGGGTTTTGGGGTAACGGCCAAGTTGACAAATGACGCGCAAGCGAAAAATGCGCTTCAATGGTCAAATGTTTTGATGGACCGACGAAGCAGGAGCTGATAGCGGGCGAGAGAGTGAGAGAGAAGGGGGAGGTGCGGTACAGTGAGAGGGAGGCTTGATAAATGTGCTGCGCAAGGAGCAGAGCGTATGTGATGTGCTATAGTGAGGTGGGGTGAGGTGGGGTGGGCTGTGGGTTGTTCGCTTGGCGGGCAGAGGTGAGTAAAGCACAGTAAATGCGATAAAAGGCAACACAGATAAGGCAAACAACTGCCAAGCGGGGGGAGACAATCGAGTTGGAACACAGCGCGTGCTGATTTGACCTAGACTGACCTTTTTCTGATCCGAATATGTAGAAAGCGCCCGCGAGTGAGCGAGCGAGAGAGCAACAGCAAAAGTGATCGCAGGCAAAACTCTTACAGAATTAAACTAAACATTGACTATTCTAAAATATTAAAATATAAAATATATAATTACGAAATTGTGTTAAGAAATGCCCAATCATATGGTGATAAAAATTATAATGAATAAATTCTACTTTACAGCTGTTAAATAATTTCATTCAACTGATTTTTTCCAATTAAAATGTTTAATTTGAAGCTAGCTCTGCCGAATTACCAATCAGAATTTGTGATTTATATGCTGAACTCCTTTGCAATTGGAATAAAAGCTCGTTTCTTATTGGAATTGTATTGAACTTTCTTCCAATTGAATTGTGAGTGCCTTACGAAAGCTGCATGTCCAATTAGAATATCACTTCCAACTAACGGCCACACCTACAGCAGTGTAGAGCAGGGGGGGGGGGGGGGCGATAAGTGCGGATTAGGCGCCGCATTTCAAAGTTAAACGCGCTTTAGCCGCTTTGGCAGCTTTTGTGCGTCCGTAAATGTAAATACAGGAGATTTATGTCGCGACAGGAGCAGCAACAGCAGCAGCAGCGGGAGAGACAGCAACGACGACGCTGACGACGACGCCGATGCCGATGCCGTTGCCGACGCCTAAGCAACGTACAAATTCGCAAGTGCGAAAAAGCCGAACAAAAAGAGGAGCAGCAAAAACAAAACCAACATGAGCAGCAGCAGCAGCAGCAAGCAGAAGAAGAGCTGGACAGGCGCGCGTGTGACAAACTTGACGCTAAGTTTGCGCAAACACGGCCAGTGGCGGTGGGCGTGGGTGTGAGCGAGACGGCACGAGGCGAGGCGTGCAAATGAAAGGCAAAGCTCAAGCAGAAGACATACACACGTACACAAGCACACAAGCACACTGACAAAAGCAGCAGCAGACAAAGAAGCTTTGGCAGCGACGACGGCGACGGCGCCAAAAAGCAAAAACGGCAACGCAAATGTATTTTGTCACACGTTTTCACACACACACACACACACACACACAGAGGGCATAATAACACAAGCCGTGTATGTGTGTGCGTGTGAGTGAGCTGGCTGGCACTATTTGCGTCGCCTGTGCGCAAGAAAAAGACGACAAGCGCAACGATAGCGACGACGACGACGACGACGTTGAACTTGCTACCCGACAGGCTGTTCCCATTGTTGTTGTTGTTGTTGTTGTTGCTGCCGCTACTGAGCAGTGCTCAGCTTGTGTGACAAGTTTAACCACAAATACATACGCACAGAGAGCATGCACACACACACACGCGCGTACGTAGCGACGCGCCAGCTAGTTAACACCACACCTCACAATGGCGGCGGCAATGTTAACTCCTCTGCGCCGTGCCTTGGCCGTGCCGTGTGTGTGAGTGAAATGGTGAAATGGAAACTGTGTAAGAGGTGACAACATTTCTTTGCATGGATGTGTGTGTGTGAGTGTACGTATGCATATGTGTGTGTGTGTGTATGTGTGTGTGTGTGTGTGTCGCTGTCTGTGGTGTGAAAAATTACAGCAGCAGTGACGCCAACGTCGCCGTCGTCGCCGTCGTCGCTGTTGCTGTGGTGAAGAAAAGACAATGAGGATGCTACACGTCAGCCAAACCTGTGGCGAGTCTTGTTGTTGTTGCTGCTGTTGAAGTGAAAGGCGATTAGTTGGCTTAGAACCCCAAATGGGTGTACATGGTCAATATGTATATTTTGTATATGTATTTTGGGCCCAGACATAAACAATAGGCTAAGTAAATGCAAAGCCTTCTTACATTAATTGCAGTTCAATTGGCCGCACTCGACGCTAATGCTAAGGCAATGAAGACGCTGCTGCTGCTGCTGCTGCTGCTGCTGCTGCTGCTGCTGCGACGCTGTAACTGAGAGAGCAAATGGATATTAACAGCAACAGCAACAGCAACAACAGCAAATGCTCGAAATATGCTCAGAAGGTGTTAAAAAACAACCAACCAAAATGCCGACTAACGCCTGGCCAAAAGCGCTGTTCACTCTCTGCCGCTTGTTTGTATATTGATTTAGCTCAGTGTTTGTGTGCGTGTGTGTGCGTGTGTGTGTGAGTGGGCAGCTGCTGCTGCTACTGCTGCCGTGGTGTGTTGAATAAGGCTTACACCACAGCATCTGCAGCTGGCGCGAGAGCGAGCGAGCTTAGCCGTTAGGTCGCTCTCGTTTACAACTACTCTCCACTCTCCACGCTCGCCTTCTCGCTTCCACTTGCGCCCGTTCGTTTGTTAGCTCTCTTGCTTGCACTCGTTTTGGCTATTTGGGCATACAAGCGTCGCATAGTAAATTTCGTCTGATTTTTTGTTGGCGCTTTGTAGCTAATTAAAAGTTTATGTGTGCACACACACACACACACACACACACACACACACACGCACACATACGAAGAGACAGGGCAGCTGCTGGCTGCCTCATAATTATCTGAAAAACTTTATTTGACGGCGTTTATTTGACTGGCTGCCTTCCCCAATGGGATCAACAGAGAGGCCGATAGAGTGCGGGGAGGGGGAGGGGCAGAGGCAGAGGCAGAGGAGAGATCTGTCTATCGCGCTCGCTCACACGCCTGTGTGTGGTGGTGTGGCATGTTTATTTGCTTAACATGGTTTAGTTGCGCCTGTATTTGTGTATGTATGTGTGTGTGTGTGTGTGTGTGTGTGTGTGTGAAAATTTACAAGCGGCGCGCGTTAAATTATCCAAATATGTTAGGGGCAAAAAGGTGACGACGAATGGGTTAACACTTTGACTAGCGCGTGTCTGTGTGTGTGTGTGCTGGAGTGTCTGTGTGTGTGTGTGTGTGTAAATAATAAACAACATTATGCTGGCCATTAGCCAGCTTCAAGTGTTTAGATTTAGCTCTATTGCTCTTACTCTCACTCTCTCACTCTCTCTCTCACACACACACACTCTCTCTGAGAAAAATGTCGCATGCCGAGCTTGTCTTTGCCCAGGCCACGCCCACTGCCTCTGTCTGCCTGTGCAATGGCAATCAATAAAATTAGCATAAACTTGAATTTCACGCTGCCAAAAACAATGAAAGCTTGTTACACACACACACACACACACACGCACACACATGCACGCACATGGCTTGGCTTTAACAAACACAAATACAAAGCCAAAGAATCGCGCCATAATAAATGTCTAGCCTTATGTAAACCCAGACAGAGTAGCTCCAACTGTGCGAGTGTGTGTGTCTATGTGTGCGAGTGTGTGT